AACGAAAATTCGAAATGTGCATACATGTGCAAACGATGAGCAATCGAATGAGCTATAGAAACTTAATTTTTTTTAATGTTGGGGGGCTAACTTCACGACGGTTCTTCTTACCGATATTCTTTGTCAATAATTTTCTGTCAAGGTAAAAAAAATTTTTCTCTTTCCTGGGAAACTTAATTTTTTTAGTCGTGTCAGTTTTAAAATAAGGAAGCGATATATTAAAGCCAAGTTTACTTACAGGAAGAGCGTATGCATATCAGATCCTACGGAGCGATTCTCTCGAGTGAAATTAACAATAGTATCGGACATGGCGAGTTACGTGGGCTATCTGCTTGAATAAATTAAAATCGACATCGGAAAGGAAAAAATCCACGCCGACGTTGACGCCGACTTATTTAGCAATCGGCAAACGATAAGCAGTGTAAAACCCGTATCTCTATAAAGTAACCGTTCCCCCTACTGTAATATCCTGGAGCAATCATTATATCCTGCTGTTACACGCGGTTGTTGTTCTCATCGACTCAATCAGAAAGCTAATTAAATGTACCGTCGCGCCGTGCAATTAAGGAAAATGAGCGACCCTCGGAGACACAAATAGTTAAAATGGACAACGACAAATGAAGGTTATCGTTCGCAAAACGATCGCAACGGATTCATAATAACTTCATAACTAAATGCATTTTTGAATAGCATAGTACCTTAATGGTCGCCTGTATCTTTATCACAAAAATATTATATTTATCCTGCATGTAAAACTGATATTTTTATGATTAACACTAATCTAGTCTAAATGTTCGTTTATTTTTTATTTTTCGCTTTGATTTTCTTTATAAAAAAAAATATTGCCAATGCTTTCCATTTTAATACAATATATTAATTGCGCATTCTGTTTTGATTTTTAAACTTACAATTATTTTTTATATTATGTAATCATACGTGACTCACTAACGTATAGATAGTAAGTGTAACTCATAAATATGGATGTATCTACATATAAGAATATTCGTATAAGAATATTCGTGAGTCATATGCCTTGTGGACGGTAAACGTTTCAAAGATAATTAGAATTTCCAGATGGCACTCATTTGTACTTCGCTTGCACTCATTAGAACTGTTTGGAAAAGATTATGTTTCAATATTTCGATTGTGTCGAGTCTAAAACAGGACGTGATATTTATGCGTGTGTACCATCGTTCAATCGATTACCGGTCATTCCATTAGTGTTTTCCGAGTGCTCGACTGAACGATTACTTCAAGGAATAACTGTAACGGACTTTTGCTAACCCTTGACTGGGGGCCGTCCCCAACGAACTTCCATTCGCTCTTGACGATGCCCACGGTAGTCATTTTACGGACCAGTGACTCTTCGAATTATTCAGCCGACGAAGATCTTGATGACACAACCATCTTATGTAAATAATCAATTAGTTATATGATAAGTAGTAAATAAGCAAGTTCAGTTTTCAGTTAATCACAAAATTTACACATATAATACGTTCTTACGTAATGTTCTATATACAAAAGCTGCGAAGGAAATAAGTTAATAAGATCTACATTTTTGTCTGCCTTACTTCCTACCTCATATGCTCCACTAATTTAACATTTTGCCGAGTGTTCCGGCAAAGTTCTTAACCGCAGGAAGTCGACGCGCGCGGATGACATGTGCTCGAGTTAATTAAAAGCCTCGTTCGAACTTGGCACGCGCCTTCGAGGGGCGTCTTCAGGCACCCTGGGAGCAGAGAAATAAGTTCACAAACCGTGAAAATTTAATGTTCTTTACGGGGGGGGGG